GAACAAACCAATGGGAAACAAGACACATGACTAAGACAACCAATCAGAACATGACACAATGAACAAGAGAACCAATGGCATGAATACATGAGGGCAAGGGAAGCATGACACAAACAGGTTGAAACAATTACAAAATAAAAGACATGAAAACATGAACATGAACCAAAACCCAAACACCACATTACACTAATATAAATTTGAATATTTACTAATGCTTTTTTTATCAAAAGTTTTATCTGTTAACATTGGCAACATCAACATTTAAAAATATGAATAAATGCTGTAAAAAAAAAAATAGAAATTGCTAAAATGGTAGTTCAAATTTGCTCATGCATTAACTGGTTGACAACTGAAACCTTATTATAAAGTGTTACCACTCTCATTATAAGGTCTCGAGAAATTCATATACAGGTGCATCTCAATGAATTAGAATGTCGTGGATCTGCTGACCAGCTTTTTGAAGATGCTGATTTCATTTTCCAGCAGGATTTGGCACCTGCCCACACTGCCAAAAGCACCAAAAGTTGGTTAAATGACCATGGTGTTGGTGTGCTTGACTGGCCAGCAAACTCACCAGACCTGAACCCCATAGAGAATCTATGGGGTATTGTCAAGAGGAAAATGAGAAACAAGAGACCAAAAAATGCAGATGAGCTGAAGGCCACTGTCAAAGAAACCTGGGCTTCCATACCACCTCAGCAGTGCCACAAACTGATCACCTCCATGCCACGCCGAATTGAGGCAGTAATTAAAGCAAAAGGAGCCCCTACGAAGTATTGAGTACATGTACAGTAAATGAACATACTTTCCAGAAGGCCAACAATTCACTAAAAATGTTTTTTTTTTATTGGTCTTATGAAGTATTCTAATTTGTTGAGATAGTGAATTGGTGGGTTTTTGTTAAATGTGAGCCAAAATCATCACAATTAAAAGAACCAAAGACTTAAACTACTTCAGTCTGTGTGCATTGAATTTATTTAATACACTAGTTTCACAATTTGAGTTGAATTACTGAAATAAATGAACTTTTCCACGACATTCTAATTTATTGAGATGCACCTGTATATGGAGGTTGAATCACCTTTAAATAAAGTCCAGTCTCGTTTAGTAACTTACTTAGGAGAGGTACAGGCCTGCAGTGCGATCTTGTGGTGGAAAGTGAAACTAAATCAGAATATGAAGTCGAGAGTCCTGAGGACAGTACTTCTGGAATGATGACTCATCCTAATTTACGTCGTTATTTCTCACCTGGGAACAGCTTGGGAATAAGGTCATTAATAAATCCGCAATGTACAACCAGTCAACCCTGAAGCTGTGTTAGTTTAAGTTTTTTTTTTTTTTTTTTTACAAACTAGGTGATGTCCCCTGCAGACCGCAAAATAAGCATGTCAAGTGAGGTATGTGGGAACTGGCCACACATTGGTGGGCGTGTGAGGTACTTATGCATGCGAGGTGATTGAGGCCGAAGCTCCGCCCATTCTGAAAGTCACCTTGGCTTTAATTGAGTCTGCTGATAGTGTAAATGCTGTAAATGTTACAAGAGGTTCTCTTTATGAATACTTTCTCCTTTATCATTTTATGATTTCAGAGACATTCGTTCATTTTTAAGCTCAAATGAAGAGTGTTCAAACATCCACCCTAATGTATTATATTAGATTATTAGATTAATCTTCTTTGATCTTGAGTGATATTAACACTTTTGGAAATATTATACTTGCAGTTTGTGCCTGCATTACATATAGGCAATTAACAGAAACTCATGAAATTATATCAGAATTTTTTATCAATTTTAAAAGAAAGTTCACCCAAAAATGCAAATTTTGTCGTCATCACTCCCATGTTGTTCCAAACCAGTATGAATTTGTTGATAACCAAACAGTTGCTGGTAGCCATTAACTTCCAGTATTTTTTTTCCATACTATGGAAGTCAGTGGCTACCAGCAACTGTTTGGTTACCAACATTCTTCAAAATATCTTCTTTTGTGTTCAACTCATAGAGGTTTGGAACAACATGAGTGTGAGTAAATGATTCATTTACTCAAAATATTCATTTCGGGTGAACTATCCCTTTAAGGATTTTAATTCACAGTATATGCCTATATAGACTCTTTCTTGGGATTAAACCAGAATAATATTAATAGAAATATTACAAGATATCTGCGCAGCTTCTACAGACTTGTTTCCATGCATATTTGAAAAGCTGGATTAAAATTCATGTCTAGTAGAAGGCAACAGAATTTGATTTGGTTGGATTGAGTAATGGCTTTCTAAATTTGAACTGTATTGATGCACAAATGTATTGTATTGTATTGAATCCAGTGTGATTTGTGAGATTAATTTTGTTCAGAAGGTAAGATTATAGACAGCATCTTATTAACAGGAAGAAATGAAGTGTAATATGACATTAGTATTATCTATTATCTGTTTTTCCCTCTCATCAGCTCCCTGTGAGGCAGATACTTTCTTTTGCCATAGTAACATGTGTATCAACAACACACTGGTGTGCAACGGTGTCCAGAACTGTGTCTACCCTTGGGACGAAAACCACTGCAAAGGTAAATTGTGCTTTTTTCTTTTTTTTTAATATCCTCTCAATGTTTAGAGGTTTGTACGTAAATATGTCGGCCTTCGTTTTTCTCTAAATGAAAATCAATACTTGGGGAGAAGCATTGTCTTACTTTGTCCCCTTCACGCTTGATAGCTAGTCAACAAAATCTCACTGCTTTCACACAGCTGTTAAAAAAGACCTTGTTATAAAGCCTTCAAACCTCTGCGCTGGAGTTCATTGATTAACTTTGCATACGCTACTGTAATGTCGCTAAGAAAAATGAGCTGGCCACTAGAAATCCATTTGTATATGTGAATGACTGTGGTTCAGGCTGGGTTTGAATAATAGCATCAATTCTTAAGTGCAGTTCGGCTATATCTGTGCTTATATTTCACATAAGCTGTCCAAGCTGAATTAAATGAATGTTGGAAATAGTGCCGGGAGCCTCCGTAGAGGATACGGGAGTGGTGTTTTAGCACAGATTGTTTTTTACAATAGTAAGTAAGTAAATAAATGAAATTAGTTTTTTTTGCTCACTTATTCAGAAAATGATTCACCTAAAACTTTGAGCATCCTTGATATTTGTCCATCATTACTGGTTTTAATTAAATGTATAACTTAATTGATATAATAAATACTCAGTTTAATTTAATGATATTAATTTTGGGGGTTCATTGAAAATTTAAGATGGAAAAACACTTAAAAATGTATTTTTTAGGCTTGTCTTTGTATGTTAACTTCAGAGATGTTTTTTTTAACACATTTATAAAGTAAATTGTATTGCTATTTGCTTTTGCTTTCTAAAGATTGGTTGAAAGATTAATCACATCTTTTTATTTAGCATTAGTTTAAAATAGTAATAAGAAGAATGTATGTATGTGTGTATATATACAGTATATAACAGGAAGAAATGAAGTGTAATATGACATTAGTATTATCTATTATCTGTTTTTCCCTCTCATCAGCTCCCTGTGAGGCAGATACTTTCTTTTGCCATAGTAACATGTGTATCAACAACACACTGGTGTGCAACGGTGTCCAGAACTGTGTCTACCCTTGGGACGAAAACCACTGCAAAGGTAAATTGTGCTTTTTTCTTTTTTTTTAATATCCTCTCAATGTTTAGAGGTTTGTACGTAAATATGTCGGCCTTCGTTTTTCTCTAAATGAAAATCAATACTTGGGGAGAAGCATTGTCTTACTTTGTCCCCTTCACGCTTGATAGCTAGTCAACAAAATCTCACTGCTTTCACACAGCTGTTAAAAAAGACCTTGTTATAAAGCCTTCAAACCTCTGCGCTGGAGTTCATTGATTAACTTTGCATACGCTACTGTAATGTCGCTAAGAAAAATGAGCTGGCCACTAGAAATCCATTTGTATATGTGAATGACTGTGGTTCAGGCTGGGTTTGAATAATAGCATCAATTCTTAAGTGCAGTTCGGCTATATCTGTGCTTATATTTCACATAAGCTGTCCAAGCTGAATTAAATGAATGTTGGAAATAGTGCCGGGAGCCTCCGTAGAGGATACGGGAGTGGTGTTTTAGCACAGATTGTTTTTTACAATAGTAAGTAAGTAAATAAATGAAATTAGTTTTTTTTGCTCACTTATTCAGAAAATGATTCACCTAAAACTTTGAGCATCCTTGATATTTGTCCATCATTACTGGTTTTAATTAAATGTATAACTTAATTGATATAATAAATACTCAGTTTAATTTAATGATATTAATTTTGGGGGTTCATTGAAAATTTAAGATGGAAAAACACTTAAAAATGTATTTTTTAGGCTTGTCTTTGTATGTTAACTTCAGAGATGTTTTTTTTAACACATTTATAAAGTAAATTGTATTGCTATTTGCTTTTGCTTTCTAAAGATTGGTTGAAAGATTAATCACATCTTTTTATTTAGCATTAGTTTAAAATAGTAATAAGAAGAATGTATGTATGTGTGTATATATACAGTATATATATATATATATATATATATATATGTGTGTGTATAAAAATATGCTGATAGTATTTGAATAATTAGATTTGGTTTTAGTACAATGACATCATAAAAGCCAAATTATTTCATGGAAACAATACATTAGATGTGTATCAGATATCTTATAATATCTGTCAATTTTAAATACTTAATATTTTCCCCAGACCAAGACGAACAGTATGAAATAAAAAGTAAGAAAAAACAATACTTACAATAATATTGTAAATATTACAAAATAATTAATATAAAAAAAAAATATATATATATACAAAGAAAATTAGTTGAACAATATGTATATACAAAGGTAATATTTGAATAATTGTTTTAGTGTTATTACAGTGAAAGCCAAATTATTTAATTATTTAATGGAAACAGCATGTATCACATATCATATAATATATGTCAGCTTTAGAATACAATGCAGCTCTTATAATATTTTTCTCAGACCAAGATAAACAGTAAGAACAAAAAAAAAACATTCATTACAATACTACAATAAATACTACTAAATAATTCATATTAAAAAAAATGCAGAAAATATTTCAATAATTTTTTTAGTACAATAACGTCATATTTCATTTTGGAAACATATCATAAAGCCTTCATTTGTGGTTTGTCTGCACCTCTGAATAAAAATGCTCCTCTCTGTTTAACCAAAGCCAGCACAGATGTTATACTCTCACTGTGCTACATAAATGTCAAAGCTCGCCCATTAGAATGATTTACTACTTCTGCGTGCTGTTTGTAATCTCTTTGGTACAACAGTTTCAACAGAAGGTAACCTGCGATGACATTGCATGCCTGCAGTAATAATTTATTACGCTTTCTGTTGTGTTTTGCAGAAAACCGGAAAGCCAACATCCTGGACAACATCAACAACACCAACGGCACCATCATCGGCGTAACATGCTGCATCGTACTGATCCTCCTGGTCGTATCAGTCATCGTCCAAATCAAGCAGCCGCGGAAGAAGTACATCCTGAGGCGGGAGGACTTTGACCCCACCATGTTCCAGGAGGTGTTCCAGGAGCCGCCGCATTACGAGCTCTGCACTCTCCGCAGCGCGGCAGCCACCTCCGCGGACCTGGCCGAGCTGGCCCAGGACTTTGAGAGCTTCCACAAGCTCCGGCGCGCCTCCTCGCGCTGCGTCCACGAGCATCACTGCGGGTACTCGCAGCTGTCCAGCAGCAAGGGCAGCCGCACCAACCTGAGCACCTGCGAGGCCACGGCCGCCATCCTGACGGACATCCCACCGCAGCCCATGCGGCCGCTTCCTCCCCAAACCAACCGCAGGAACATTCTGGTAATGAGACACACCTACTCACAAGATGCCGCGGATGCCTGTGACCTGGACGATGACCTGGAGGAAATGCCCACCACCAGCCACAGGCTGTCCAGACACGAGAAAGCAGTGCAGCGGTCAGTATCCATTGATTTTTGATGAGAAAAATCTACTTATTGCATATTTTGGAACGATTTACTCCCACTTTTAGTTTTTTATTCCTTTTTAGCTTCTCTACTCAGCTTCCCATTGATTTTTTTTAGCTGTTTTTTTTTCTTATCTCATTCTTTTTTTTGCTTTGATCTTCTCTTTTTTGTCACTAAGACAGCTGTCACGGTCAGAGTTGGGTTTGTAAAAGAGATGCAGAAGATGCTTTAAGAATATGCCTGCTGCATGTTTACAGGCCTCTATCAGCAAAGCTGACATCTTAAGATTAATGTTCAGTTATAGACATGCTGCATGAAGATGGAACTGAGGGATAAACTATTTTTTTGTATTTTTCAGAGGTTCATTTTCAGAGAGAATATTATATTTGAAATTATCGAAACGGCTTCAGTTTTGATAATGATATATAGTGTTTAAAAGTTTGGGGTCAGTAAGAATTCTATTTTTAAAGATATTAATACTTTTATTCCGCAAGTATGTATATTTAGCTGATCAAAAATGACAGTAAAGACATTACCATTTCAAATAAATGCTGTTCTTTAAATTGCTATATTTATCAATGAATCCTGAAATAAAATGCATTAAAATATTAAGCATCACAACTGTTTTTTTTTTTTTTATATTGATAATAATAAATGTTTCTTGAGCAGCAAAATCAGCATATTAGAAGGATTTTTGAAGGATCATGTGACACTGAAGACTGGAGTAATGATCCTGAAATGTCAGCTTTGTCATCACAGGAATTAATTACATTTTAAAATATATTAAAATAGAAAACAGTTGTTTTAAATTGTAAAATATTTCACGATATTACTGTTTTTCTGTATTTTTGATCAAATAAATGCAGCCTTGATGAGCATAAGAGACTTTTTTCAAAAACATTTAAAAAACTTACTGACCCCAAACTTTTGAACAGTTGCAAAATAAGCATCCCTGAGAGAAAAGGACAAGAAAAAAAGAGTGTGTCTATTCGTCCAATTCTTGATAATGGCTTAAAGCTTTATCAAGTGATTTTCAGTGTAAAAAAGAGAAACTGATTATATACATGCACATTTCGGGCATGTTTTTTAATGCTCTCCTGACAGGATGCAAAAGAACTAGGCCCCAAACAAATGAAATGTGCATTATAATTCCTTATGCAGCAAATACCATGATATTAAACATAAAAGCAATGATATTCCAGGTTCTGCCTCATTGGGTCTCTAAACAAACATGAATCTGAGTACAACACAACTAGGGTGTAACAGACAATCTGAAGGTAAGACTCTTTAAACACACTTAATTTCATGTTTTTAAATGTTTGTCTAGTCACTGTGAGTCAGTGTTAATTTTTTTCTTGCACTATTTTATTTCTGTTTTGTCGAACCCCTGCATTATCATTGAGATGGTCATCATTAGGACTTGTTGACCATCTTGCTTATTGGTGAGGTCCTATATGTTGCTTGTCATTTTAGCTTTCTTTCATTTGTTTTGTATGTTATCACGTTCAGTTCTGATGTGCATGGAATCAATCTGATGATTTTTATTAAGGATATCAAAATAGGCATTTCAGATCCAGTCAAAGGCAAATTTAAGTACTCCTTACAAGATGGTAAAAAAGTATAGGCAGCCGAAGAACAACACTTCTTCAAGGGCCATCTGTGCTTGTCTTACATACACTTTATTGTCAACATTCAACCCTAATGAAAGGAAATTGTAGTTTGTGAACAAAAATAGGAGTGCTTTTAAAAATGTTATTTACTCACCCTGACTGACTTTCTTCAGTGAAACACAAAAGGTGAATGAATACCTTGTCCAAAATGACAAATAGAGCACCATTAAAGTATCATTCACCAGTGTTATTTTAGTATTATTTATATACTGTTTTAGTATTTATTAATATTTTGAATTGACTCATACCTTGTGTTTTTATGTATATACATAGCAATTTGGTTATATATAATTATTTCAGTATTTTTAGTGATTTAGTCATTTTATAGTACTTATGTCAGTTAGTTGCAAAGGTAACATTTCTAGATTTAATTTTAATTAAGGTTTTAGTAATTTGGTCATTTATATATTTATTTCAGTATTTATTAATATTAACATATTATTATAGTATTTATTCATATTTAGAATTAGCCGTGTATATATGTATACAGTATGTTCAGATTTCAAAGTTTAAAGTCATTTTGTTATGTGCTTTTGTCATTTTCTTATTTCTACATATTTAATTTCTACATATTCTTTTAGTAATTTTAGCACTTCAACATATTTATTTCAGTTGGCTGGCAAAGTAACATTTGCAATTTTTGTTTAAGTTTTTAATGTTGTTTTAAGTTCTTATAATATATTTTTTTCAGCTATAGTTTGACCACACTTTTAGGTTTACCTAAAACAGTTTACCTATGCATTTTGCCTATACTATGATATACACTGATGTGTTTTATACTTTTAAACATGACATGAAGTTTTTGTCAGTCTTAATAATCTACAAAGAGCAGCATTTCTTCATATTAATGGTGATTTTGTTATGTTTGTGCTTTGCAAATGATTTTGTGTGTATCATAGTGTGTAATGTGCAATGCTGTGTTTTTTCTCATCTCCCATCATGCATTGTCTCCGTCATGTAGACTTCTTGAAAATAGTGCAATCCTGGATCAGTACGAACGGGCTTCAATGAAATATGAAAATGTGGACCGGAGATATACACCAGCATGATAATAACATGGACATTTTAAAGATAAATTTATCAAAACATCCTGCAGATGTAAAGGAGGACGTGGATTCGGTAACAAAGAAAGTGACTGTGATGAAATTGCTTTAACGTGCAGTTCCTAATTTAGGCACATTGCCTTTACTTATTTAGGATTGCAGAACATTACATGAAAGTTTGTTCATTTATTTGAATAGATGTGAATTAGTACTTTCAGGACTGTTGTAGTGCATGCATTTTATTGTCATGTTTTGCCACCAAAGGTTGTCGTTTTATTTGTTAAAATGCTTTTATTTAAGACGTTGGATATTTGTGACTTTCAGCAAACACTCTCTATCCACATATTTGTCAGTCACTTTAATGTTATGATTTGCATGCATGTTTTCTTTCTCATTTTTAAAGTGAGTGACTGTGCATTTAGGTACAGCATCAAACCCAAGACTAATTGATTGTAAATAGGTTTAATTTGTGCACAGCTATGACATAACACAGCGCTGCCCACATGGCTATTGCTCCTATAACAGCTCATTTGTATCAGTTCTTTTGTCTTTGGGTCGTTAGTTGAGATGCACCTGTAAAGACCAGCGACTAGTCGACGTCAAGCTTAAAGCGTCATGGCAGAGCATTGAAGTCGGTGCAATAAGCATATAAGCATATAAGCATATAAGTTGGTGCAACCCCTAATATATATATAAAACAAATGGAATGACACTAAGCCCTTTCCCTCCCCTAGTTTACTCCTATACTTACTAACTGCATGCTAATCATCATAATTAAATAAATCATAAAAAATGTATAATATACAATCTATGATTAAATTAAACTGTGGGAATATTCCTTTACATAAATAATTTTTGAAATACTTTCAGTTGCTGTTGTTTAGGACAAATGCAGTAAGTTAACATTTGCTACATTTTAGTAGCACACAAACTTTGTATGTTAACGGTGTTCAAACTTTTGTAGATGATTTGTTCCACAGCTGAAACACCAATACAAGCAGAGTTTATGACATTAAATAATGACATTAGCAATTATAAATCTTGTTATGTTTACTTTTCATGCTTTTGTGTGATCCATTAACCTGCGGTGAATGTCAGATGTGATATCAACAGAATGTTATAAAACCTCAAATACAAGACATTAAAACACCTCTCTCACACACACACACAAACACACACAATATATGTCAAATGTCCCTGTTTTTTCAAGCTACATTTTTAAACTAAGGTTACCATAATTAAAATGAATTGTCAGTTTTTCTGTCTGTCTGCACATTGTCTTGACATTTTTGTTTTAGAATTTAAACTATATAAACAAAGTAAAAAATAAATGCTTTTTGAGGAATTAATGAATGAATTTACATTATGGGTGAATTTACGCTTTCTTGTTATATGTAGACAAAATGTCATCTGAAGTGGAAGGCACAAAAGGTTAGTTCCAGCTTTTTACTTTTATAAAATTAAATATATACTTTTAAATGTTTTATGTTTATTAGCTTAAAATGTAATTTTATGTGTGGCATACAAATGTTATATATATAAATCTCACAATTCGGACAATTCTGACTTCTGATAGAATTGCAAGTTTATACTGTGTAATTGTGAGTTTATAGGTTTGAGTTTATATCTATATCTTATACCTAGAGTTTATATCTGTCAATATATGTTTTTATTTTTTTTTTAACCCGTGGCGAAAACAAGCTTTTCGGAAGCATTTACACTACCATTCTAAAGTTTGGAATGGAAGAAATTAATACTTTTATTTAGGATGCATTAAACTGATCAGAAGTGGCAGCACAAACATTTATAATGTTACAAAAGATGGGGGGGGGGGGG